AGAGATCCAATTACCAAGAGCAGGAATATTGGTTTAGGGTTTGTTTGGAGTTTTTTGGGGTTTTTTTTAGTGAGTTTCAAAAGAATTTGGGGGGAAAACCCCACCTACAAGAACTGAAAAAGAGAAAAACAGAGATTAATAAGTCAACGCGTGAAAAACAAGACTTAGAATATAGAAACAGAAAGCCGGGCACAAGCTTCAAAGCCAAGTTTAAAGGTTACTCGGCAAGAGAAAGAAGTGAACGGGAAGTCCAAAGTAGCGAGAGGTAAACTGGGTTGCTTCGTCCTGCCAAAGAAAAGACTTCTGTTACACACAGTTCAGGTAAAAGAGCATGAGAAGATGAAGAGTTCTAGCAGACGCAGCAGAATGGGAATGATTTTCAAAGAATAAAATACCCCAACCACCCGACAAAGAAGTGTTGTGGAAAAAAACAGAGATGAGAGTTACTTCTATCTTGTCCATCAGTGCCTTTGAATTAGGAAACTGGCATTAAAAAACGTTTCCTTCTCAGAAGATGCTGCAAAGTCTGCCTGCACACCTGGCACTTCCTTTGGAATTCAGTCGACATGTCGAGACATCATCTGGATGAGCTGCTCCCGTTCTGACCTAATTACGTGTTTTCTGGTATCGTTAAGACGGACAGCTTGCTCCCCGTAAGCCAGCCGGACATTTGCTGGGGAAGCTCACCATTTGGATTCCACTCCCCCTCCTCACAAAGCTATTGTAAGTGAAATCACAAAATAACTTCATGATGCATCAAAATTTCTGTGGTTGAGAAAGAACGTCTACGTCTTCCCTTTAATACTTCTGAAGAGAAGTTCCCTGTTTGCCGAGCGAAGGAAGAAAACTGACAAAAACCAGAGAGGAAACACGAACCTGAATTCTTCTGGGGCTTTCTAGATTTATGCTTTTTATACTTCCTGCACTTTGAAAAATTCTTGGCAGGGCAACTACTTCTTAGCAGGCAGGATATGTCTCTGCCCTTGCTACGGTAACACCAGATCCCTCTTTGTTAGGTGGATTTTAGCTTTGATACTGCTCTTTGATAACCTCTTCACAGAGTTGGTCAGGTCTTCCCTACCTCTCTTTCCAGTTTGGACAGAGACCCATTTTGGCCAAAATGAGCAGAAAATGCATGAAGAGTCCAGCCAAAATCACCTGCACTGAGCTGCATCGTTCTCTTCAGTCACCACCTTGGATCAATCCCTCTCAGTTTGGCAGGCTCAGAAGTTTGATACTGCTTTATCAGGAGCAAGCAGAAGGAGAAGTTAAGAAATCTAAATTACTTAATTGCTCATCTTTCAGTAACAAAAACTGGATCAAAGATGAGTCACTCTGTCTGCCTGATACATGAAGTCAGGCAGAAACTTTCAATAACAAACTGGGGGGTTAAGGTAGTTTTAAGTATATCCTACCATCCTCACCCGTGCAAAGGAGTTCAGATTTATGTGTGCAGCTCAGCCACCACACCTGACAGGGAAGAGAAAGAGGCTCTCAGCAATTTAGTCAAAACTGTGTTACTATTCCACAACAGCTCAGCTTACTCTCCATTGTTTTAGGCAAGCGCCAAATGAATGGACAACTGCCAGACTTGTAGAACGGATGCCAAGAACGAGTGAAAAAATTAAACAGCAGACCTCATCCCTAAAACCCTTCAGCAATGAATGACCTACTTGGACTTCTCAGTGCCTTTCAAAGTTTCCACACCGCTTTCTGTCCTGCCATTTACCTGCAAGAGAAACAGAACACAGGGCAACAGCCTGAATGGCAGAGACAGGGGGAAATCAGCAAGCCAAGCCAGATTTCAGCAGCGCAGCAGGAACCACGACACAGTGAACAGTGTGCCATGTGAACAGTGGAGCCGAGGACGCTCACTTTCTGCAGAGCTCGGCCTGGAGGTTCAGCTCCCCTGCACATATTACTGATGCCTAACTAGAGTGCAATTCTCCCTGGTTGTTCCCTCAGCATGAATGCTAGAAAGGCCTTACCCCTTCTGGCACAAAAAATTGCTTCAAAGATGTAAAAGAAACACCCAAAACCTCTATCCCTGTCAAATTAGGCCGAAATTGTTTATCGATTTAAAGATCTCTATTTTTTCTTCAGGGATGAGGCACACACAAGCTTTACCACGTAAGCAGTATTTCTCAAGGAACCACAGCAAAAATGAAGCGCTCTGCGCGAGGTATTCAGGCACCTCACCACACAAACCACAGCGCACCAACGCTCTTGCTACAGGCACTCATACTGCAAATTTTGTAGAAGAGCAGCAATCCTGCTGACCAAATATCACTGATCTTAAATTCTATGGATCCAAGATTACATTTACTGGATAATAAATATTTCCAGAGGGCATTAGATACAAGCGCGTGAAGCAGCTGCACAGCTGTGAAATAACACTACACCAAGGTGGAGCTGCAGAGTCATACAGGAGCTAAAAACTGGGACTTCAGTAAATATCTGACCCCCCCAGTATATCAATATGATGTGTATCCTGCCATAATCAAAAGCTGCAGGGTATTCAACTTGATTTTCCTCCTGCAAGCACATGCAGAAGCACGGATTCGTCAAGGCCCTTCACAGTTTATCTGGACACAAGCAACCCTGACGCGCTTGGAGGCTGAGCACAGTAAAGGCGTAAGACTACGGGGTGGGTCGGCAGGTTCTGTGCCCAGACCCACTACACAACTCCTGGATGACACAAGCAACTTGCAGAGGTCCTGAGTACCCCCATCAGTTCATAAAAAGTGAGTAACACACATCCTTTCTACCTTTCATAGGTTCTGGCAAGGCCTTATTCGTTACCGTTGGCTGAAAGAAAAAAAGACAGAGCCTCAGACGCGAGGTTCTGTGAAGAGGTGCATTAACCACATGGCAGGATGAATGACAGAATCTAGTTAAAACATCCCTGATTCCCATCTGAGGTGGAAAAAAGCCCACTGTCAGTCTACCTTCCTATCATCATTTGTCACCTGGCACTCTAAGTATTCTTTATTTTTAAGAAAAGTTATAACACAGCCCACACATAGT